ATCATCCTTCCATATCTGAGATAAACCCAGTTAGTCATGATGTATTCTCTTTTTATGCACTGTCAGATTTAATTCAGTAGTATTTGTTTAGCATTTTTGCACTTGTATTTATGAATGAAAAGGGCCTTAATTTTCTTTTCTTGTAATGGCTTTGATTAATTTTAGTATTAGGAGTTTGCTGGCTTCGTGGCACAAGTTGAAATGTCTTCTTTTTTCATTGTCTAAAAGAATTTGTATAAAATTTAGATGGGCTGTTTCTTCAAATTTTGATAGAACTAGGCTGTACAGCCACATGGGCCGGATATTTTCTTTGTGGGTATATATTTTAACTACTGGTTCAATTTAATAGTTAAAAGACTATTTAGGCTACTTATTTCTTCTTAACTTGGTTCTGATAAGATTTTGTTTGCCTTTTGAAATTTCTCCATTTTAACTTAATTTTACAAAAATGTTTCATATGGTTGTTATTAGTATTCCCTTGTTCTTTTTAATCTTATTTTTAGTTGTTTTCCTGACTCCCAGAATTCTGACTTGCATACTTGTGTAATAGAGGTTTTATATACTCCCTTAATCTATCCCCTCATATTGTTTCCTATCTGTATTAGGGGAGCAGTCCAGCAGATCTTGTTTCTGTTTTTAGCCATCTTAAGTCCTTGCTATAAATCATCAGGCTGAATCTTTCATATAAAAAAATCTATTTTGATTATGTTATTTCACCATTAAAAATCTCTTATTCCTAGGGCAAACTACTAATTGCCCAAGGTCACTGATTTTCTAGGTAACAAATAACCTCATGCCCTGACTACAGCCATACTAATACAAACTAATACGAGCATACGAGAGAGTATGCTCACTGTCCCTTAAATATGCCGTGTTAATTTGTTTCTTTGCTCACACCCTTCGTGCTTCCCTGAATGAATTCCCTTCCCTGTTCCCTAGGTTCTATCAAGCTTTCAAAGCTCTATTAAAATTTTACATTCAGGGGCGCCTGGGTGGCTTAGTCGGTTAAGCGTCCGACTTTCGCTTAGGTCACTATCTCGCGGTTCGTGGGTTCGAGCCTCGCGTCAGGGTCTGTGCTGACTGCCAGCCCAGAGCCTGGAGCCTATTTCAGAGTCTGTATCTCCCTCTCTCTCTGACCCTTCCCTGCTCACGCTGTCTCTCTCTCTCTCTACTAGAAATAAATAAAAATATTAAAAAAAATAAAAAAAATAAAATTTTAATTCATAGAGACACCTCTGATACTTCAGTTAAAGATGATTTCTTCCTTCATTATTTTCATTTTCTACTCATCCCTTTTTCATATATGGATTTTTTCCCCTAAATTCTTCATAGACAAGACATTTATTCTATGCTTTTTTTGTTTTGTCTTTTTTCTAGAGTCATCTTCCCTTTAGGAACTAACTCACAGTTTATTCTCAACCTTATTTTTTCTTGAGTATAAATATTGAAAATTTATTAATTTATTTTATAGCTATACTTCTGAAGATTGATGACAATTTATAATGTGCTATTTTAAGAGCATTTCTCTGTGCATCTACTATATTATTTTGTATAAACTCTGAAAATAAGTTATTCTCAGGTTCAGGGGTTGCAGGTCAAATGGCTGCAGTATCAGGGTGGCAACATGCATTTGTGAACGGGGTCATATGTAAGAAATAGGGAGTGGAAGAGCCTGGATGAACTAAAGAATATATGGTCTCTCGAAGGAATTCAAACCAAATTCTTCAGGTTCCAGGGGAGTCCTACTTGTGACCTCTTTCTCTAGCCTCCTTTTATGTTGAACTCTACTTCTGTGTTTGAAAATGTGTTATAAGCCAGAGCCATGATGGCTAGTAGTGTAGGTATGACAATTATCTCATTTTTTGTAAGTTCTTGGATGGTTTTTTTTTTTTTTTATAGAATACTCAGCATAAAGATTTAAAACTTAAAGATTTAAGAAGTTGGGGACTATATAAATAATTTATGCTGCAATGAGTTTTTTTGATATGAACTAAAGTTGTCACTAATAGATGTATATAAAGTAATTTTTATGTGTGTTTCATGAGGCAGAAAAAAACCTCTCTAAAATTTCTTGTTCACTGTGCATTCCACACTTATCACAATGTCTGGCACACTATAGGTATTTAGTAAATATTTGAATGGCATCTTTTTTAAGTTTTTTTTTTTTCTTTTGGCAATTTTGTACTATATGTAGTATAGCCACTTGGTGGCGCTAAACTCATTTTAAACCTGGAAAGGTATTTTTATACTTATGCACACCATGATTACTATTCTTCATATACACACAGAATAAATTGTAATAAATGATGGACAGTGTGACTCATTATTAACATTGAAAGAGAAATATCATTAACTGCAGGATTTTTTTTCCTTTAAAAAAACTTGAAATTTGATTATACAAAAATCCACGTTTAATGTATACAATTTGGTGAGTTTTTGGAAGGAGTTTTTTTTTTCTAATTCTTTAAAAACTGTTTCTAAAGTGATGGATTACAGATTTCAAGTCCTTAGGTCATAGTAATGTTTGAGCCTCTCTGTTAGAGCCTCAGCATCTAGCACTGGATACATGGTATATCTTTAATGTGTGAATTTGAAAGAATGTACGAATGAGTATAAATTTTAACTTCTTCTGACTTCACTTCTACCAGTCCACTCCCAGATAAGTTTGCCCCAGATAATTTTGGTCCAAGATAAGGGGGCATTGAATCTTACAAAGTTTTAGTTAACCACCTTTATGAAATTTCTTTTAATCATGAAAATTTTTTAATCTCAATTTATGAAAGAACTGTGATTCAGAACAAAATACATATTGAAAGAAATCAGCAATATTAATTGGATTTTAGATTTCCTGTTACTTTTTTTTCTAACTTGTCAATTATGGGATAGTTTTGAGTACAAGATATTATCAGAGAGGAATAACAGAACTATGGTGGCATCATTATATTTGTTTGAGAACTGTGTGTAAGATAATGTTCACCAGTGGAGAAAGCAGTCTTACCAAAGAGTTTTCCAAACATACAGGAGGAAAAAATATAAGACTTGGTAGATTTCACAAGACCTCAAAAGCCACTGGCAACACGAAAAGTAGAGGAATATAAGAATTTATTATTTTTTTATACTTAAAAAGAAATTTTTTTTAAAATTTCTGAGAGAGAGAGAGACAGCATGAGCAGGGGAGGGTCAGAGAGAGAGGGAGACACAGAATCTGAAACAGGCTATAGACTCTGAGCTGTCAGCACAGAGCCCAACATGGGGCTCAAACCCACGAACCGTGAGATCATGACCTGAGTCGAAGTCGGACGCTTAACTGACTGAGCCACCCAGGCACCCCATAAGAGTATAAGAATTTAAAAGAGAAGATAATTGAAAAGTTTTTCTTCTGAAATCAAGCAGTATATAGTTTACTAACTTGTAAAATTATAAGTGAATTAGCATTTTGGAAAGACTCCAATTCCAAAATAGCATTTAATTATAGGGGCACATGGATGGCTCAGTCAGTTAAGCATCCAACTCTATCCGACTCTTGAGTTTGGCTCAGGTCATGATCTCACGGTCATGAGATTGAGCCCCACATCAGGCTCTAAGAAGAGTGTGGGACTTGCTTGGATTCTCTTTCTTCTTCTGCACCTCCTCATCCCGTTTACACTCCTTTGAGCATGCATGCATGCTCTTTCGCAAAATAAATAAACATTAAAAAATAGTATTTAATAATAACATAGTAATAAATATAGAAATAGGACTAAGTTGTATTTTTAAAAATCATATATCAGATTTAGTTCAACTTTACAGTTAATATTGCTGGTATTCACAATAATCATCTAAGGTTCTTTCCAGCTCTATAACCTCAACACTGTGTAGGGGCTATAAGGAATATGGAAGAAGCCTTTGTCCATAGTAGGTTATAATCTTGTTAGAGAGACCACATATATGTACAGAGACAGCCTAAAATAGTGGCTAAGTGTACAAATTCTAGAATAAGACTATCTGCCTCTTGCTTAGCTCTGTGCCCTTTGGGCAAGTTACTTAATTTCTTTGTGTCTTAGCTTCCACAAATGTAAAATGAGGATAATAATATTACTCCTTCATAGGTTGTTGAGAGAATGGAAAGAATTAATACATATAAAGTGCTTAGAAAAGTACCTGGCACATAGTAAAGTGCTATTGGAATGTTTTTTCTCTCTGATTAGAATGTAAGGTCCACTAATTTTTTAAATAGTTAACAGCTAGATGACAGCACTGTAAAGACTATATATGACTAAGATGAAAAAATGTGTGGACAATATATATCCTTTTAAGAAATTCAAAGGAGGATAGAAATAGCAGTTGTCAGATAATTTCTCTTAAAGCCACATAGGTGAGTTGGAGCTTGTGCTGGGTACTGAAATATGGGTTAAATTTGGATAGGTAGAAATGAATTTAGGAAGAAGTAAATGGGGGGGGGAGACAAATTCTGTTGGTTTAATCAGCTGTGTTTAAATCAGGAAAAATTGGCCTTATTATCCTACCTGGATTGGTTTCACTGATGTTATGAGTTTATTTAATTTATTTGGTTTCCTAGAATTCTCAACTGCAGAATTGCAGTTAATTCCTAAAAAATATATTAGAATGGAATTAAACATGTTTATTTTTTAAAAAAGATTTTAAGTATTTTTGAGAGAGAGAGAGAGAGAGAGAGCAAGCATGAGCAGGGGAGAGGCAGAGAGAGGGAAACACTGAACCTGAAGCAGGCTTCAGGCTCTGAGCTGTCAGCACAGAGCCCAACACGGGGCTCAAACTCATGAACTGTGAGATCATGGCCTGACCTGAGCCGAAGCTGGATGCTTAGCTGACTGAGCCACCCAGGTGCCCCGAGTTAAACATGTTTATTATGCTTACGTTAAGACCATATGAAATAAGTTGGAAAACTATTAGCTTTATTTATATTTTGGAGGGCATTGCCGTCATTTAAAAGCTGCTTTTTAAAAAATAAATTTATAATATTTTGCTTTTATATTTTGTAGGTAATTAACAATGCTTGTGCTACCCAAGCTATCGTCAGTGTGTTATTGAACTGTACCCATCAAGATGTCCATTTAGGAGAGACATTGTCAGAGTTTAAAGAATTTTCACAAAGTTTTGATGCAGCTGTGAGTATAATCTTATTATTCCTAAAATGCCCTATTTGTGATAGTTCTTTTCTTAATAGCCTACTTTAAAAATTATTTTAGATGAAAGGTTTGGCCTTGAGCAACTCAGACGTGATTCGACAAGTACACAACAGTTTAGCCAGGTAAAGAGACTTTTTGATAAATAATCATTTTCTCTTTTGCTTGTCTGTGTCTCACTATTTTTTTTCTTTACTGTAGACAGCAAATGTTTGAATTTGATGCAAAGACATCCGCAAAAGAAGAAGATGCTTTTCACTTTGTCAGTTATGTTCCTGTAAACGGAAGATTGTATGAATTAGATGGATTAAGAGAAGGACCGATCGATTTAGGTAACCTGGTTCCTATTCCTGGTATTTCACCTTTGACAAGACAAAAAGATTGGGTATTCTCCTTCATTTTAGTCACAGTCCTGCTTAGATTTTGAAGGGGAAGGTGATTATGAGGTGGTATACTGTCGCAAATGTCTTAAGCTTTTCATTACTTTATGAACTTAAATTACACAGGAAGGACACGTCGGTTTCTATCTGGTCACTCATTCTGTATTCCTTAGAACCTATCAAATAGAAGGGAAGTGACAGATCAAAAAGAACAGCCAGTTTTGCTATACAACTGGTGGCTGTGCTAAAACTTAAGATGAAAAAGAGGATTAAAACAACTTGGTTTTGCGTTATGTGTGAATTTCAGTTTTTTATTTTACAATTATTCTGGTAGGGAGTCAGGGTTATTTTGCTACTAACTTGTGCAATAATGGTTTTTCTTTGCTCTCAGTTTTATCACTGTAAAATGAAGGTAGTATTTCTTATTTCACAGTGTTGTGAATTTTAATGGGATAACTTCCTAATTCATGACTTCTTTGAACATTTGTTCAGCACTTACTAAGTGACACAATAATGTGGTAATGAAAATTATATTAATGTTTTTCACCCTTACCATTACTAAGAAAATAAGAATTGAAGCTTAATATAATTGTGCCAAAGGGATTTTTATCATCCTGAATTTGCCAAAGTATTTATAAAAAGATATTTTAGACTAACTTTTGAAATAATTTTATATTGATTTTATTTGATTTAATTGCTTTCAAATTTCTTTCTAGGTGCATGCAATCAAGATGACTGGATAAGCGCAGTGAGGCCAGTCATAGAAAAAAGGATACAAAAGTAAGTGCTCAGCTAATCTTACTAACATAACTTAGCATTTTGGTTTTTAAACTTAATTTTTCAACTTTTATTTTATTATTATCTTAGCGGTGTTTGTTGAACATCAACTTTTGATTGGATTAATGTGTTCAGGAAGAAATCCCTAAATTCTGCATCATAATATCTCATCTTTATAAAAGTTAAACATGCAGATCTCCATTTAGGTATTTTGTATAGCTGTTTTGTAGAGTTTTGTTTTTAGGTATCTTTTTAAAATTAAATTAAAACTTTTATCTTGAGATAATTGTATTTTTTGTTTTCAGTTATGAATATAATACAGAGAGAGCCCATGCACCCTTAATCATCTGGCAAACTAGTGGCAACAAGTGGCAACATCTGGCAAACATCTGGCAAAACTAGTACAGTGTCAACAGCTAGAATATTGACATTGATACAGTTAAGATACAGGATGATTTAATGACCACAAGGATTCCCTCTGTTGCCCTTTTAAAGCCACTGATGCCTTCCCCTGCTGCCACTCCTCCTGCCTCCTTAATCCCTAGTTTTATAATTTTTGGTCAGTTAAAGAATGTTATATAATTGGAGTCATATGATATGTAACCTTTTTGGACTGGCTTCTTTCACACAGCACAATTTTCTGGAGATTTGTCCAGATTGTTAAAAGTAGTTCAGTCTTTTTTCTTGGTGGGTAGTTATGGTATGAATACACCTTTTTTTTTTTTTTTTTTTTTTGGTCCATTTACCCACGGAAGGATATGTGGATTGTTTTCTGTGTTTGTCTATTATGAATAAAACTTCTGTAAATATTGTTGTAAAATATTTTTGTTTATATATATTGTCATTTATGTTGGTTAAATAGCAATAAATNGAAGGATATGTGGATTGTTTTCTGTGTTTGTCTATTATGAATAAAGCTGCAATAAACCTTTGTACAGATTTTTGTGTGAACATAAGTTTTCAGTTATCTGGGATCAATGCCCAGGAGTGCCATTGCTGAGTTATAAATGCATGTTTAATTTTTTAAGAAACTGCCAAACTCTTTCCCAGAGTGGCTGTACCATTTTACATTCCCACCAGCAGTGTATGAGTGATCCAATTTCTCTACATCCTTAGTAGCATTTGGTTTTGTCAAAAGTTTTTTTATTTTAGCCATTCTAGTAGGTGATTAGTGATGTGATTTTAATCTGCATTTCTCTAATGACTAATGATGTTGAAAATCTTTCCATGCCTTTTGCCTATTTTGTAGTTGGATTGTTTGGGTTTTTTTGACTGTTGAGCCTTGAGGTTCTTTACATACTTTGGATAGATAGTACTAGTCCTTCATTAGACACTTTGCCTGCAAATATTCTCTCCCAGTATGTAGCCTGTCCCCTAATTCTCCCAATATAGTCTGTCACAGAGCGAAAGCTCTTAATCTCAGTGAAGTCTAATTTATCAGTCTTTTTGACTATGAATTGTATTTTTGTTGTCAAATCTAAGAATCCTTTGTCTGGCCCTAGATCCTAAAGATTTTCTCTTGGTCTTTTTTTCTAAAAAGTTTTTATTTTAACATTTTACATTTAAGTCTGTGATCTATTTTGAGTTAATTTTTGTATACGTTGTGAAGTAAGTCTAAGTTCATTTTGTTGCTATGCATGTCCAGTTGCTCTAGTACCATTTGTTGAAAAGGCTGTGCTTCCTCTAGAAATTTGGTAGAATTGTAAAAAACCAGTTGGGTATATTTGTATGAGCGTATTTCTGGGTTTACTACTCTGTTCTACTATCTGTCTGCTCTCTGCCAGTACTACACAATCTTTTTTCTTTTCAATTGTTTTGTATGTTTATTTAGTTTGATGGGGGGGTGGGGTGGGAGAGAATAATTAGGGTAAGGGGAGAGAGAGGAGGAGAGAGAGAATCCCAAGCAGGCTCTATGCAGAGCCTGTCGGTGCACAGCCCAACTTGGAACTTGATTCCATGAACTGCAAGATCATGGCCTGAGCCAAAATTAAGATTTGGATGCTTAACTGACTGAGCCACCCACATGCCCCTGTACTACACAGTGTTGATCACTCTAACGATAAGCCTCAAAATTAGATAAACTGATACCTCCAACTTTATTCTTTTTCTTCAAAATTGTTTTAGTTATTATAGTTCCTCTGTCTTCCCATATAAATTTTAGTATAATCTTGTCCTTATCTACAAAAATCTTGCTGGGATTTGGAGAGGAATTGTGTCACATATTTATATCCATTTGGGAAGAACTGGCATCTTTACTATGATGAGTCTTCCTGTCTATGAACATGGTGTGTCTTTCTATTTACTTTGATCTTCTCTAATTTCTTTCTTCAGCATTTTGTAGTTTTCAGCATACAAGTCCTGTACATGTTTTGTCAGATTTATATCCAAGCATTTCTTGGGTTTTTTTGTCAGATTTATACCCAAGCATTTTGAGTGATTACAAATAATATGATTTCTTTGATCATTGTTAATATGTAGAAATACAATTGATTATTTTCTTTTTCTTGTATCCTTTGACCTTGCTGATTTTACCCACCAACTGTAGAAGTTTTTTATCAGTTCCTTGGCATTTTCTACATAGATAATCATGCCATTTGCAAGTAAGGGCAGTTATAGATTTGTCTACTTTTTAAAAAGTTTTTTTTTTAATGTTTGTTTAGAGAAAATCGCAAGCAGGCTCCATGCTCAGTGCACAGCCTGACACATGGGCACATGTGTCACAATCATGTGCCCATGATCTTACAATCATGAGATCATGACCTGAGCCAAAATCAAGAGTCAGATCTTAACTGACTGAGGCACCCAGACACTCCGAGGATTTTATCAGCATTATCAGTTTTATCAGCTTTTACATTACATATTTTGCAGGTTTGTTGTTTGGAGTTATAAACATTTGTCACCATTTCTTCTTGGTGGATTTATCTTTTTATGATTACATATCATCCCTCTGTAGTAATTTTCTTTGTTTTGAAATTTACTTTATCTCATAGTAATATAGCCAGTCCAGCTTTTTTTTTTTTTTTTTGATTAGTGTTTTCAGTCAAGTTGAGATTTTCATCATTTTTAATGTGACAAATGATTACAAATTGAAACCTGGACGTATGGGGTTTTATATAAGACGACTCTGGATTCTGTATAATAAAACTTTTGTTAAGCTGGTTTATATGGGCACTGTTCAGGGAGGGTATATCAGGAGTGCTACCTCATTACTGCAGGTGGGAGTAGAAATTCAGGTTCCTCACTATCCCTCCATTGACACCTAAGATGGAAGAGTTCCTTGTTACTTCTAGGCAGGGATGGGAGTTCTGGCCCCCAAAAGAGTATCTACTGATACTACCCTGGCTGGGTATGCCTTGTTACTGCTTGCTACATGGCTTCACTGTCGCTGAAGTGGAGGAGGCTTCTTTACCACTGTATGGTAGTGACTTCCCACTTGGCTTCCCATTTGTCTCCTCTAGACACTGCACATAGGTGTCATTACTGCCCTTAGAGATGAAAGTCCCATCTTCCTGATCAGCCTTTGCTGGTGGGTAGGGTTGGGGCCACATTTCTTTCTTTTGTGTTTAGCTATGGTAGAGTGGTTATGGTTATGGTTGGTGGCTTCTTCTCCAAGTCTAGGATATATGAAGGCAAACTAGGTAACTCAAGGAGTTCATCACTGTGTCATTTTTGGGACCTGGTTCCCTAGCTTGTCTGCCTTCTCTCCTTTTTTTTAAATATATGTTATGGCTAGTGTTTTTAGTTTGGGAATTTCTTCCTCTTCTTCTTTGGCATCTTCTTCCTTGGGAAGAGTAGGGAAATGGAAGTTCCATAGCAGTTTTATGAACAACATTTTTATGTAGTTTAAAGCACTATGGTTATATTGGGCCATGTGCTTTCCAGTGGATAGAATTATGTATGGGAAAATGTTACAGGTGAATAATGCAAAGATAGGCTTACTTTGTCTATATATTTTCATCTTGAATAAGCACCATTTACATAATGTTGCCAATAATTTTTCTAATGTCAGTCCCTATCATAAACAAGCTTGTATTGTGAGGTGTTTCATTGTGATACTCTGGTATCAGAGTAGTGAAAATAGTATTCAGAAGTTTTACAACAGGATATAATCACATTAATAAAACATATAAATATTTCATAACTTATCTATAATAAAATATAAAGTATAAAGTGAAATATAAAATTATATTCAAAATAGCAACTGTAAAGACATAGCAACTATATCATGAGTTAGAAAAAAGTATATAATTAGGAATATAGTTAATTACATAAAAATCTCAGTATAATTAATCAAATAAATGTGAGGTCTTAGTTATTTTTTTATAAGGTCAGAACATTTAAAAGTTTGTGATTAAATTTAGCTAGGGTTTTTTTGTTTTGTTTTTACTGTAGTTTTACCCTTTTATATATGAAAGCCTTTTTTAAATGTCAATTTTCATTGTTAGCCATTAATAGATTTGTGTTTATCCTAGAGAACCATGGGGTAATCACAATAGATTATTTTAATTGTAATAGCGTTATAATTCTTTATTATGTTATAAACTTTAACTTTTTTGTAGGTACAGTGAAGGTGAAATTCGATTTAACTTAATGGCCATTGTGTCTGACAGAAAAATGATATATGAACAGAAGATAGCAGAATTACAAAGACAACTTGCTGAGGTTTGTGGCCATGTTTTAAAATTTTTTGTTAAACATTGATTTCTTTTTGAGAGACAGAGCACGAGCGGGGGAGGGGCAGAGAGAGGGAGACACAGAATCAGAAGCAGGCTCCGCAGAGAGCCCAAAGCAGGACTTGAACTCACAAGCAATGCGATCATGACCTGAGCTGAAGTTGGAGGCTTAACCGTCTGAGCCACCCAGGTGCCCCTTGTGGCCATGTTTTTAAGTGCAAAGTTCTAGTTTAGTTATTTCAGGGAAAGTATTCTTTATCTTGGTTTCTTGCTTTTTTGCTCCACTTTCTTTGTTCTCTCTTTCTTTCTCTCTCTCTCTCACCCTCCCTCCCTCCCTACCTCCTTCTCTTTTTTCCTTCCTTCCTGATTTTTTTTTTTTTTTAATGTTTTTTATTTATTTCTAGGAGAGAGAAAGAGACAGCGTGAGCAGGGGAGGGTCAGAGAGAGAGGGAATCATAGACTCCGAAATAGGCTCCAGGCTCTGAGCTGGCAGTCAGCACAGAGCCCGACGCGGGGCTCGAACCCACGAACCGCGAGATCATGACCTAAGCNTTTTTTTTTTTTTTTTTTTTTTTTTCCTTCCTTCCTGATTTAATCAAGCATTCTGGGTAGTGATTAAGAAAATGCAGTCTGGAGTCAGATTGCCTAGATTCAGCTCCTGGCTTTGCCACTTAATGGATATATGAATTGGAATATTTATTTGTGGTTCAGTTTCTTAAGGTAAAATGAAAATAGTATTTGCATTATAAGGCCATTGTAAGGAACTGAGATGATATTCATAAGCCACTAAAAAACAGACTGACAAATATTAAATGGTATATAAGTATTAGCAATTAACTATTTAATTTCATTATATAATTAAGCAAGTTAGAATCGATTTCTCACAGAATTAATTGGGTACATTTAGATACATGTAATCTTTACTATTCTATATGATTGGTTATCTTTCTGTAGTAAATATGATTGGAGAAGATAATTAGTAATAGTGCCTTTTTTACATTCTTTGATCCTATTATCTTAAGAGCATATTTAAGCATATTTATTTTATAGCTGAACAAAAGATTATAGCAACACAGTATATTGCAGTAATAGATTGTTTTTAGTTAAAAATGCATATGTGTTATTGTAGAGCATAGAAATATGGAAGGTGCTACTTAGGGCTTTTGTCCCTTAATATTGCAGTTAGTAGGCTGATATTTTGTCATCAATATTAAGAGTAAAATTTGGAAATAATTATACTATGTTTATAATTTTAAAATATTTTGGATCCAAGCCTCAATCATTAGGGTATGCTGTTTCTTTTTCTTTACCCTAAGGAGGAACCCATGGATACAGATCAGGGTAATAATATGTTAAGTGCTATTCAGTCAGAGGTTGCCAAAAATCAGATGCTTATTGAAGAAGAAGTACAGAAACTAAAAAGATATAAGGTATGTTTTCTTTTTATTTGTTCCTTTATTGTTTTAATATAGAGTAGTATATTTTGTCATGAAAGTACAGTGAATACTTGATTGTTTTTCCTCATCATCACTAGTTTTCAGAATAATGCATTGGTTCCTGAGCATCCTGCAAAGGTAACTAGTAAGATTTCTTTCTTTTTAATTTTTTGAAGTGTTATTATGAACACATTTTTAACTGATTTGATGCTTCAGTTCACCGAAATTATTAATGATCAGATTATTTCATCTTTGGCCATTAGTATCCACTTCAAGCTGTCTCCTAAGTTCTTTTGATGGGATTTTCTTCATCTCTGATAGTTTCCTTGCTTTCTAGTATGACAGGATGTTTCAGACTCAACCTGTAGATCTCCTGCTTCAGATTTGGATTAGCCATTTTTTCAAGAAGCTCTGTGTCCTATCGTTGGGAAATGGTATTTAGAAACCACTCTTCGGGTGCACAGTGATACCAATTGATCATTATGTCTAGTCCTTTTCAGAGCTAAGAAATACACTTTTGTTTGCTTGTTGTTTTAGTTTGAAGAGAAAATACAATGTGAATTCAGTATTAAAATTTAGAATTAAAGGACTTGGGGTGCCTGGTTTGCTCAGCATACCTGCGAGCATGTGACTCTTGATCTCAGGGTCATGAGTTCAGGCCCCATGTTGCATGTGGAGCCTACTTAAAAAAAAAATAGAATTAAATGGCTTTACACTTGAAAGTAACCATTTGCGTCTTCTCTCTCTCTCTTTTTTTAAATGTTTATTTTGAGAGAGAGAGAGAGAGAGAGAGAGAAAGCATGTGAGTATACACACGAGTAAGGGAGGGGCAGAGAGAGAATCCCAAGTAGGCTCTGCACTATCAGCTCAGAGCCCCATGTGGGGCTCAATCTTATGAACCCTGAGATCATGACCTGAGCTGAAATTAAGAGTCAGATACTCAACTGACTGAGTCACCCAGGCACCCCACATCTCTTCTCTTAAGCTGAAAATCTTGATTCCTAGTAATATTAACAAAATTACTTATTTCCTTTATGCTTTATAACATATGTATGTATAAACAAATAATTATTTGATTTATACTATATATATAAAATGTGTATATATAAGTATATATATGTATAAAGGTTCAGAAACAGCAATAGTAGTAACAGTAATAACAACTGAAAAGTTTTTTCTTTCTTAAGTTAATTTTTTTCTTAGAATATATCTCATTTTGGATATACAATCAAATTACTATGCTTTTAAAATTATTTGAAAAAATTTTCTGTTGTATGGTTCTGTCACCAATTTGAAACACAGTTGGGTTCATTTGTTTTATTTTTCTTTTTAGTTTCTTAGGGTGTTAAAATTTTTTGATTTAAATTTATGGCAAACATATAGTTGAAAGTCAAATATAAAGCAAGGTGATCTTTAATAATGTCATTCACAATCTGATAAGTTTTTTCAGAGAGGGTAAAAAGTGTGAAGGGAGCTTTGAATTTTGTGTGAATTTGGAAATGGTAGTTATATTATTTCGCATGTGTATCACAGTAGGAAATGCATTGTTTTTCATTTGAATCTCACTTTGACGGCAAGGATTATCTTTTTTTTAAATTGATTACCACAGTGTTAGCATAGTGCTCTTCACCATACTTAACAGCCTACAAGTGACTGATAAATAAAATCAATGGACCTTGAACTAATAGGATTTCTTTAGTTGGAAGTAGGGGCTGGTTCCAGAGTGTTCCAGGCAGGAAAAAGGTGGGGCCAAGTTCATGGAGACAGGGAAGTAAGGAATGAAAACTTGAATGTTTACCTTCCATTTTATGTGGTATGCAAAAATAACTACCCACCACTTATGCATTCCTATGCAGGGTTATTCCGTAATTAACTAAGTTTTAATATTTACCTAAAATAAAACACAAACTTGGTTTTCAAAATCTCTCCCTGCTACATTGTTTGAGAATGCTTTGTTCAAAAAAGGTAAAAGGATTCTCCTACTGATACAAAATGAGCATGTGTTAAGATTTTATTTAATTATTAATCAGTTTGAGGAATTGTAAGTTGTCACAACTAGTTCAAATGAGAAATCAAAGAAGCTCAAGTTTATGTGTAGGAATGTTGAAATGAATTTACCAAAGATGGGACCTTTTTTTCTATGGGAGAAGGGAAGTAAATTGAACCTCTACCAGACAGAATATTTAATAGCTTAGGGACAATGAAAAAGTAAAATTGGGTAACTTGGGAGGGATGTCCTAGACAATGAATAGTTTTTCTTTGAAGTACAGGTCTTTCCCTATATTACACCCTATTTTGAATAAAGTAATTCAGAGAAAAATTATTCTTGATCACAGAATAAAGCTGGTTTTTTTAGGCTTTCCTGTTTATTTGCATAGTTATAGTAGCAAGTAGCAATTTAATGTATCATGTGGGCTTTCTTAAGTTTGCTTTCATAAGTTTTCATAAATAATTTTAGACTTCTAAAAGCTCCTTATTTGCTAAGCCAAGGGTAGGAAGCCACAACCCAAGAAACTCCTCATATTTTTTATTGTATTAGTGTTTATTCTCAGTGGGGATATAATCTCATTATTTCTAATATTTTTTCTTGTGAGAATGGAAGATTTTTTCCCATTCTATTGAGTAAGATGCAAAAATTACACTATTATGAACTTAGTGGAAATGTAAAGTTAGTATGGTTTGATATTTGTTTTATTTTCAGATTGAAAATATCAGAAGGAAGCATAATTATCTGCCATTCATTATGGAATTATTAAAGACTTTAGCAGAACACCAGCAGTTAATACCACTAGTAGAAAAGGTAAGTTACTGGCGAATAGTTATTAGATTTAGATTCCCCCAAAACAATGTTTGGGGTTTTTTTTGGCGTGAGTAGAAGTGAAATTTGTTGAAGCATTTTGATTTTAATTTTTTTTGCTTTCTCCTATTTTATATTCTAGATGAGCATTAATTCAACCTGATATTGTAAAATAAAAATAAAGAATTGCCCCAGAATCCTTAGTATTAAGAACTCAGAATGTGCCATATTAGAATAAAATTTAAAACATTTTCCTTTCTTTAAGCTGAAGGCAAACTTTTAAAAACTTTTTAAAAAAAAATATGTATTTTATTTTTATTTATTTTTTTAAATATTTTTATTTATTTCTAGGAGAGAGAGAGACAGCGTGAGCAGGGGAGGGTCAGAGAGAGAGGGAGTCACAGACTGAAACAGGCTCCAGGCTCTGAGCTGGCAGTCAGCACAGAGCCCGACGCGGGGCTCGAACCCACGAACCACGAGATCATGACCTAAGCGAAAGTCGGACGCTTAACCGACTAAGCCACCCAGGCGCCCCATAAAAAAAAATATGTATTTTAATGTTTATTTATTTTGAGAGAGAGGCCGAATGTGATGGGCGAGGGGCAAAGAGAGAGGGAGATCCAGACTCTAACAGTCTCCTGGCTCTGAGCTGTCAGCAGAGCCCCACTCAGGGCTTGAACTCATGAACTGCACTATCATGACCTGAGTCACCCAGGCGCCCCTGAAAGCAAATTTTTAATGTTAATAACTGAAATAATAGATTCTTTGTTCTTTAAGAAAAATTTGAATTATCATAGAATTTAAAACTAGAGTGGACATTGAAGGGGGAAAAGCAACCATAACCTAGACTAAGAAATAGGTTTTTTTATTCATTCCTAAGCTAGTATTCTTTCCACTGAAGAAATTTTTAAGTTTATACTGTAAATCAGTGTTCCCGAAAGTGACCATCACTGGATACTCTACCTGGCCCCTCTCCAGATATTCTGATATAGGGGAAGGAATCTTTCATAAGTCACCCCAAGTGACTAATGCAGCTGCTTTGTGAACCATGTTTTGAGAAACACTTTGAGAAGACAGTACTAGGCAAATAGAATTATGGATCATTAACTTAAGAGCAGAGCACATGGTAGGTATGTGTTTCTTATTAATTTTAAAGTATGAAACAAAGATACCTTTCAACCTAGCTTTTTTATATCAACATAAATTTTAAATAATTGGAGATGAAAGTTAAGGTTTTTGTGTATACCTTATTACCCAGATCCTGAAACATGTGCTTCTGCTTTTAGCACTAAGTTTACAAATTATTGCAGAAAATTGCTAAATCATCTCTCTCTCTTTTTTAAAATGTTTATTTATTTATTTTGAGAGAGGGAGAGAGAATCCCAAGCAGGCTCTACACTGTCAGCATAGAGCCCAATGCGGGGCTCGATCTCAGGAACCATGAGTTCATGATCTGAGCCAAAATCAAGGGTTGGATACATAATCAACTGAGCCACCACCCAGGGCTCCCCTCAATCTTCTCTTTTTAATATAGGTTTTCTATTCATGTATCCCAGGGTATTAAAGTTATAAAATTGTAAGATGGGAAACTGATTTTTAGATTTTCAGATTAATAATTAGGATTCTGTGATTCTCGAAAGTACCTACATACTGTGTTCTTTGTATGAAATACTATGAAATATTTCTCTATTAAAAATATTAAAATATTAATATAGACTGTTATGTTAAATCATGTTACATCAGATTCTAAGTATAGATAAATATTACTAAAAGTCAGACAAATGTTATTAGAGAAATTTAAAATGTATGTATTTGTAATTGATTCGTGAATAAACTTTCGGTGCAAATTAGGAAAATGACCATTCTTGTTTGATTTTAATGACCATATATCCCCAGATTTTTTTGAAAGTGTAGTTGGAACAGCTTTTCAGCTCTTGGAACTGTAATTTCTTAGTTCACATTAGTTTGGACACAGGGTGGCGGTATATGAGTATCTGGTGTTGGTGGAACACCAGCTCCGTGTGTTCTTATGTTTGCATCTGCTTTTTTTGAGGGGGTAGTTATTGATCTTCTACCTCTTGCCTCTTTCTTCCAACCGTTTTTTGATTAATAATATTGCATAAGCGATATTGAGGTTGCATTTTTCCTCATGTATATGCAATATCTGTTATCCCCTAAGGGATTTCCCTAAAGGAATCTGTTATCCTCTAAGGAATATCCTTTAAAGGAATTAAGATGCATTGTTTGATTAAAGTTTTCAAAATTTTAAAATTATTCATCAAACATTTATCTAGCTGCAACTTTATTCCAGGACCTCTCTTAAAGTCTATAGATGTCTTCTCTCTTAAGCAGTCCATGATACAGTTGGAGAAAGGAAGAAAGAATTATAATATCGTGCTGAATAGAATTGTTCTGATAAGTGCCAGAATAAATTCATGCTGAAGATCTGGGAGGAGCACAGCATGACTCCTAAATAGCTATGCCCCTTTAAGTTTCACATCCACAAAATTTTAAACCTGTAGTTAGAATCAGTTGCTTATTCTCTACCAATAAATCAGCTTCCTCAGGCACAGATATATTTTGTTCATGTTATTTTGAAAAAAGGAATCAATGTATCATATTGAATATAACTTTCTGCTAGTAAATGCGAATGTCACAAATGAAAAACAAAATAAAGATGAGATTTTATAATTATATACAATATAAAGGCTTTAATAGTGATAAATCCTTAATAGTAATACTTCTAAGAAAAATTACATATAGAATTCAGAAATGAATAAGTTGAAGTTACTAAGATATTAGTAAGCTGAAATGCTCCTCCCCTTACCCCCACACTCCCATGCCAAAAGAATGTAAAATAAAGGAACAAAGCATAAAGGGGTAGAAGGAGTCAAACAGGGAAGATGAGGCTACTCTTGGCAGTGATGCTGAATGCCAAACCTGTCCAGGATCGGATCTCTGAGTAACTGAGACAGTTGCTTATAATCTGTGATGGCATGAAAATATTTGAGTTTGAAAATCTTTTGTTTTTTAATAAAGAAAAGAACAAGACTTTGTTCCAAGAGCATATGGCTATAATGAATCAGGTTAAGATCTTGCCTTAAAAGTATTTTTGTTATATGAGGCTTCTCCTCCTACCTGAGGAATTGAATATACATTACATAAAAACTGCTCAGGAAGTAATCTAAAAATAGGTAGTTAAAAACTTATTTAACTTATTCTTAATTTTGTCTGAGTTAATATATTTTAATATATTATGCATTATGCATCTGCATTATGTCTTTCCTCAATTATGTTATAAAGTTATGTCATAAACCAATAAATTTATTTTTGTTAATCCAACTAAACATTCTGTATATTCAGAGTATATTCACAGGTCAATAAGGAAAAAGTATGTGTTTTCATTTCAAATTCTATCTGAAATTGAATTGTGTTTTCATTATTTGAAAACAGAACTTCTTTCCTAAACATTGTCTACATATCAAATTACAAGTTGTGCTTGTTAACAAAATGTTCATGCAAGCAGTTTTATTTTATTTTATTTATTTTTTTTTTTTAAATGTTTTATTTATTTCTAGGAGAGAGAGAGAGACAGCGTGAGCAGGGGAGGGTCAGAGAGAGAGGGAGATACAGACTCTGAAACAGGCTCCAGGCTCCGAGCTGGCAGTCAGCACAGAGCCCAACGCGGGGCTCGAACCCACAAACCGCGAGATCATGACCCAAGCGAAAGTCGGATGCTTAACCGACTAAGCCACCCAGGCGCCCCACAAGCAGTTTTATTTTATATGATACATATTTTTCCTCTTAATATTCTAAATCATAGCACTCTTATATAGTTATATAATAATTATACTACCTAATGCATTATAAATTTTTTTAAATGATGATATATTTTTGAGAGAGCTAGAGAGAAAGGAAGGCATAGAATCTGAAGCAGGCTCCAGACTCTGAGCTGTCAGCACAGAGCCCATTGGGGGCTCAGACTCATAAACTGCACGAAATCATGACCTGAGCCCAAGTCGGACACTTAACTGACTGAACCACGAGGACGCCCCTACCTAATGCATTATAAAAAAATATTGTACTTGTCCTAATTACCCTATTTTTTAATCTAAGGAAGCTTTTTTTCTTAGTTGTGTAATAGCAAAACTCTAATTTATTTGTTCCTCTCATTCAAGTGACATAGTGGGAAGAACATTATATTCTAGTACTCCGAATTATTTCTCAAAGTGTCATTTGGGGACCAGATAATTGGTATCACCTGAGAATTTGTTAGAAATTTAGAACCTCAGTTATTTTTTTTTAATCATTCTGTATTGTAACAGGGATGCCAGGTTATAGGTATGTACATTGAAAAGCACTGCTATAGAAACAGGTGTCTGACCTCTTGAAGTTTTAGTTTCTACTAGTTGTGTGACTTTGGTCAAGTTTGTTATCTGTAAGATCTGTCTTCATCTGCTGAAAATAAAATAGAATTACTGGGTTCAAGCTATATAATTGTTAGGAAGATAAATGAAATAAAGTGTGAGAGCATTTTTTAGGTCGTATAAATAAAGTTTATCAATACTACAGGTACATAATCCTTTAGTGATATGTTAAACTCATTTGTTCAAATATGCAGAAACTAATTAAGAATTTTTATACTCAATTTCAATGAGAAATAGATACATATGTAAATATATTGTTTTGAAATATTTAAGAATGAGTATGATTTTATGGAATGAGTAATTATGTATTTTTAAATCATTATCGTAATACATTTTAACTTCAGATAAGAAAGAACACAAACCAAACATAATCCTTTTTTACTGAGGGTAAAGCATAACTATAATTTCCAGCAGTAGTTTGTTGCAAATCTCAAGTTAATGAAAGATAATGCTCTAGAAATCTTAAAAACAATGCATTTCAAGCCTGTTAGCTTAAGAATACCTTCTTACACAAATTTTATATGATCTAAAATGGACTTTTCAGATTTAATAGAATACTATCTTTAACTTCTAGGCAAAAGAAAAACAGAATGCAAAGAAAGCACAGGAAACCAAATGAAGAAGATGCTTTGGGATGTGTCCACATTTCTGCTTCTGCACTTATTTTCATGGAAACCATTAAGTATAAAGAACTTTGAGCAACATCCTAATTGACTCAGTGCACGTTTGGCAATAGTATCAGTCTGTCTTGTCTTTAATGCATGGATTCGTTCCCTTCCTGCATCATGTGCATGTGGTGCGTATTAAATAAAAGCGATGTTGAGAGTGCTTGCCCAAATCCCATTATTTGACATTGGATCTGAGAACTTCTGTTGGTTCTCTGGATATATATATCTCTCTGGGTATATACCATAATGAACCTATAATTGCACAAATGATATTCTCTACCTGTAATTGTTAAAATTGATCTTAGCTCAGTTACAAGCTTAAAATTTATGAATGTCAGATGTTGATTAAGCTGGGTCTCTTGTTTCTCTTCATCATTAATGAAAAGAAAATTGGTATATGTCTTTGATATCTAAACATTTTGAGGATTTTAAAACTGAATTTTATCTTGAGAAAGTATGGTTTTAATGCAGATCATTTGAAAAAGACAAAAGTGTAGTTTTTAGTGATTTTCATTGCTGCCAGTAGAAAAAGTAATAAACATCCAAATTATTTTAGCAGACTTTCTTTAAGTGTTTGGGGTTGTTTATTTATTATAGAATTATTTTAAGAAGGTGTGAGTATTCTTCTAAGCAGAATTTCAGGTTAAGAACAAATGATAAATCTTCAAGATTTTTGGTGTTACTTTCAGTTTGGCAACATTTTTCAAACTGCTAAGCTGTATGTATCTTTATTAAAAAATCAGAGGTTTGACAATTCAGGCTATCTGCTTTTTAAAAAAATACGGTGTCGTGGTGGAAGATCCTTCTATGCCAATATGAATGAAAGTGGGATAGCCAGTCGTTTCCAAGAACCATGTATAGTTAGCTGACAATGGATTTTTTAAAATTGCTTTTGGGATTTGCTTTGTTTTTGATTCTATGAAATAATTGTATTCTTGCTCCTAATCTTTTCCAAGTTAAACTTTAAAGGAGATTTTATAAAACTTCTTTTTATAAAGGAAATTATCTTTTTTTTTTCTAGATGCATTTCTGAAATTGATACATGACTTATTAACATTTTATTATGGAGAAGTTTAAACATACGTAAGGGGACTGTGTATTCATCTTCTAGCTTCCAACACATGAGTTTTTAAAGGATTGTTTTAAAAGTTACTACATTGTGGTATTATTAAAAACTAATTTGAGAAAATCTGGTGGGAAATTGAGTAGAAAATTAATGAAATATTTTTCATACATCATTTCAGTTGAAGGTAATAAAGAAGAATTTGTAGTTTCTCATTTGTTTGTGGGTAAATATATTTTGCTTGGATACAAGCGTAATTATAGAGTATTTTCAAAGCCATGATACAATTTTAAAAAATGATTTCATAAGGATTATTTTAGGCTTATCTTGATCCTGTTCAATTATTTCAACTTAATTTAATTTTGTAATGTTTTATTTAGTTTTGAGACGGAGAGAGAGACAGAGAGGTAGAGAGAGAGGGGGGAGACACAGAATCCGAAGCAAGCTCCAGGCTCTGAGCTGTCAGCACAAAGCCCAACACAAGGCTCAAACTCATGAGCAGTGAGATCATGAGCTGAGCTGAAGTCAGCCGCCCAACCGACTGAGCCACCCAGGTGCCCACAACTCAATTTACATATCCTGTTGAGTTTTTTTTTTAAGATTTTTAAAATTTTTACTTAACCTCTACACCCAGTGTGGGGCTTGAACTCATAACCCTGAGATCAAAAGTCACATGCTCTCCTGACGGAGCCAACCAGGTGCCCCTATATATCCTGTTTTATAGAGGCCCAAATTTTGTAAAGCAACACAAGAAATATTCTAGTCAGTAGTATCCATTAATCAAGGCAGTGTGATTCTAGCATAGGGATTAACAAATAAATCAGTGAAATACAGGAGAGAGCCTATAAACAAACCCACATTTATATGGTTACTTGATTTTTGACAAAGGTAGCAAAGCAATCTAATAGATAAGGAAAGTCTTTTCAACAAATGAGGCCAAAACAGCTAGACATCCATGTGGAAAAAAATGAACCAAGACCTCCTCTTCTTCACAAAAATTATTTGTGATGTTTCATAGGCCTTCATGTACGAGTTAAAAATACAAAGGTTTTTAGGGGAAAACATGGGTGAATATATCTTTGTGACTTGAGGATAGCCAAAGGTTTCTTAGGTTACAGAAAGCAATAACCATAAAAGATCCCAAATCAGTGTTTATAAGAATTAAAAACTTGTCATTGAAAGATGCTTTTAACAAGAGTGACTAGTATCAAATGATATTTAAAAATAGCTTTGTAAAGCTGTGTTAATAGGTATAAGGATATTTTCTTATTAATCTAATTCTAATAAAATTCTTTGATAGGAGTTTCCATAGCTTAAGAACGATTTATTTTATCTGCTTCTTTGATGACTGTTAATTTTGTGATCCTTCATGGTAATGTCTGAATAAAGAGATATGACTTGCCTTTGTCTGGGTCTTAAATCATGAAGCTGTTGAGTAGAGAAAATGGACAAATAAAGAGCAATCCAGAAATATATAAATGTGACTTAATGTGGAAAATTCTTAAAAAGTCTCCTTAGTTCATTTCACTTTTGACCTTTCTTTTCTAAAATCTCATTTAATGCTTCGGTAGGTGAAAGCACTTCCATTCTGTTGTGTGCCTTTTAAAATAGCTAGCCAACCGTAGGCAATATACTTTTGCTATTATAAACAAAAGAAAGCTTGCCAACAGCTGTGGCACTGGGTAGTCTCACCTCATATGTTTAGTTCCCAAGACAGCTGCCCTTTTTCTAGCAAGAGCAGTCAGCTTGACTGTGCCACTAGAATAGACAAATATTTGTTCTGAGACTGTGCACCATGGGGACTTGCTGCCCTCTTTAGACCATGATACATACTGCTGTGTGTATATGGTGTTATATGCAGATTAATAACTTTGGCTAATCTAATTGCCTAAAACATTTCAAGATGCATTCAGAAATTACTCCTTCTTTTTGAGGGGGGGGCCTGTAAGAAGATGTTGTGTCTTTTGTGGAAAAAAATGGCTTTTAAGGTTTTTCCGTTAAAAATTTTTAAAGAAAGATAAGCAAAAATAGAATTTAAATTACCCATAGTTCTACCATCAGGGATGACTACACTGACATTTTAGTGTGATATTTTTTTCCCCATATGTGTGCATGTTTTTGTGTGTCCTCCCCGTATTCCAAAATAGATTGACGTAGTATAAATTATTTTTATTTTTTTAATTTAAATTTTAGCTAGCCAACATACAGTACAATATTGGTTTCAGGAGTAGAATTCAGTATAAATTATTTTTAGAGCAGATGATATGCAGTGTATCATTTTTGTATCACAACTTATTTGCAGGGAACAAGCCACTCAGGATGTTTGAAGAGGAATGGAGGGTATATTGGCAATTTTGAAACTACTTAGTTTCTTATAAAGTCATTGGAAGGGATGGAGGAGTAGGCTCATGTTTGGGTCTCCAGAAAGGACTCCCAGCAAAACACCTATTCCTGGCCCATCAGGGGAATTGCTAGGCCTGCAGCAGTCCCGGGGTTCACCACTGGAGTCGCTGATGTTAGGACAGGCTGAGGGAGCTATGGTCCGGGAATGAGGAATGTGGTGCGGCTATGTGTTGTGCCTATATAGACAACTATGTGTTGTCTGGTGACTATACACTGGCACTGGAGAAAAATTCAACCTCTCCACGGCTAAGCATGCCACTCAGACTAGCTAAAGCACCAGGCCAGATGGCCTCTGCCTTACTTCTAACTTTCAAATCTTATGTTCCGTTTTCTGCAGGGGAATGTAGGAAATTAGTTTTTAGCTCTCCAGACTCTGCAGAGTAGGAAGGCAGTCTGAGAGGAGGCTGGTAAATCCACTAGATCACACATTATTACATTTTTCTACAGTAAAAATTTCTTCCTATTTACTGAAGTAAGATGTTTATTTTAGAGAAATGAGAAAATACTAAGAAGAAAAAAATATGAAAAACAAGTCTAATCCTATTACCCAGAGATAATCAGTTAGTATTATTATACTCACACATGTAATAGATATTTTATTTTTATGAAAGGGGGATTACAGTTAAATATTTTGTTGCGTGCTTCCCCACACTCCCCAAACTTCCTTTCATGTTAATAAGTAATGCTGTATTACTTATTTTTTTATTTTTTAAATAGCTGCTTAGTATTCCATTATGTAGGTATGCTGTCTTTAACAGGCTCCCAGTAATGTATAAAGCATAGAAATAAAATGGGCAAACTGGACAGTTTGATTTTGGGGGGAGCAATTTATTTTTTAAACCGCTATGAATTCCTAGATCAGTCCAACATGCATGGCCTTCTGTTTGTTCTTTTCCTTAGCTTGAGGTTAATTGGCCTAAATCCAATGACTGACAGGTTAAATATTCAACACTTCTGGCATCCCTAGTACTTCTTTTTATTTTTGACTTGGTTATATTAGTGTCTTGAGAACTTTCTTTGGTAATTTATTCAGCATATATCTGAATTGTTCTAGATGCTGAAGATGTCTTGGTGAACAAGATCAAGGCCCTGCCCTCGTGGTGACATAGGTAGTAGGGAAGCCTGTATAATTTTTCAAGTAGTAGTAAGAACTGTAAACAAATAGAGCAGGTCAGAAGGATGGAGGGAGCTGAGGATTAATGGGATGGCCATGGAAAATGCCTTTAAAGAGATTATATTTAAGCAGAGATCTAAATGAAGATAATTTTCCCTGTGGTAGTGACTCAGCACTATGAAAGAGGATTGCATACAGGCAGAACCAACATGCAATAATTTTGAATATTAATTTTTAATAATGTATGATAGTTAACTGCTTTATAAAAGTTGATATGTGATGATTGGCTTGATTTTCAATATGAAAATAGGTTGAATAAAAATTGCATATAGAAAAGACTAGGACCACTGGCCTATGTACTTTGTAGGCTATCCAGATATTCTACATAATAAACTTATGTAACACTTTTCTTGTAGCAATTAGTATAGTATTACATAATAAAACCTGTGAGAAAAGTCTCATGAAAGTGTATTTTAAAAACAATTTGATATATACCATGGTTAAAGAAGTAAACATGAAAACTAAAGCAATGAGGTTATTAGAAAAAATATGGGAGAGTATTATTATTTGGGGATAGGGA